GAGGGCTACTGGAAGAAAAGGGGGCAGGAGAGCTTCTACCCGTATGTGGAGGTGAGGGCCTCGGGCTGGCCGGAGGGTGGAGACCTGTGGTTCACGGTGACCCTGGTGAGGTCCTGCAGTGGCCAGCTCCCCTCCCACTCTCCCAGGGCGGTGACAGGCAGGGACTTCACCTGCCTTGGGCCCCCAGAAGGAAGGTGGCCCTGTCTTGACCCTGGGTCAGGCTGTGGGGGCAGGGCCGAGGGTGACACAGCCCCCGTGGACAGAGGTGTTCACCAAGCCCATCTAGCTCACTGCGCCTGACCGTACTGCCTCCCACTTCACCTGGCCCTGTTCAGGGTGCATCCCTTGGGGAACCCGGCAGGCCTAGGGCCCCTCAAGCCAATCTCCTTCTCTGGGGAGTACTCAGTCCCATCCCCAGCCCTCACCAAGTTTCAGTTCTCCACTATCGGGCTCTATCTGGCTCGGGGGCTCCTGTTCCCCTTGATCCAGCCCCTGGCCCACAGTCTGGGCTGCTGGAGTCTCCCAGGCAGCGTTGGGACCAGGGAACTGGTGAGCTGCGTGCGGGGCCCCTCACTGTCTTCTGGCGCCTCCTCGGCCCTCACAGGTAGTTTTCACCATCACCAACGAGACCCACAAGTTCCACGTCCCCCTGCTGCTGACCCCCTGGTCCTACACCACGTACCGTGGGAGTTGACCGCCAGCTGGCCTTGAGCACCGATCCCATCACCGTGGCCCCTGACCCACCCCCAGCCCTCCACAGTGGGTTCCATGCTCATCATGGGGCCTCAGGCCCCACTTTCTGTGGGGGGTTCTGGCCCCCCATTTCCCAGTGGAACCTGTGACTCGGGCATCAATAAAGTCGGTGCTGGCATCTGCATGGCAGCTGCAGTCACTGGGCAGAGCTCGGCTGGTGCTGCCCGCCCGAGGTGGGAGGGCGTGTGGATGGGCAGCAGGGAGGGAGCAGACAGGCCACAGCCCTGAAGGTGCTCCTCCCACAGCAGGTGACAGGACACGCTGCACACGTGAAAAGCCTTCATTTGCAGACCAGACAAACCTAAGAAACGAATGCCTGCTGTCCTGGGTGTGTAAAAGGGGGCGCCACTCAGCCAAAAGTCCAGGGCAGGGGCTACGTTGTCCAGGGGGATCCCAAAGGCCAGGAGCTTTGCTTTGTAGGTCACTGTGGGCCTGTGGGGACAGAGAAGTGTCAGAGGAGGGGCAGGGAACACAGCCAGCCTGACCCTCACTCAGGCCCACCCAGCCCTGAGGAGGGTGTGGGGGGCGGGGGAACCGCCAAGCTAAGCTTTACCAGGTTGTCACTCTAGGCCAGACCTGCCCCTAAACTCAGGATCACAGTGGGGGACGCTGCCGTCATCCCTGTGTCACAGACGGGAAGACTGAGGATTCCTGAAAAGCTGAGCAAAGTCGGAGTGCAGGAGAAGTCACATGAACTGTGTGGTTTCACACTGGGGGGGACACGCCTGGTAACAAGCGGGATCACTTGGGGGTCCGCGCAGGGCAAATACCAGCAGCCCAAGCCATGGGCTCAGGTGTGGCGTCTGCAGCAACCGAGTCTGCACTGATTGGCGAATCGCTCCGGGCCCCGCCCCTGGGCTCCTCCACACCAGCTCCAGTGGTCTCCCTGCACAGGAGGGCCCTCACCTCACGCCCCCAGGCCCTAATCTTGCCCCTCACCCAGGCTCTAATCTCACGCACCCAGGCTCCCACCTGGTGCCCCCAAGCACTAATCTCCAGCCCGCCCTCCTACCCCCCCCCCACCCCACTTTGCCTTGGGGCCAAGCAGCCAATGGCTGGGAGGATGGCAGGTTGGACCCAGGGGTAGGCGCCTAGGAGGGGCGCTCCCACGTGGGGAGGGCCAGACTGTAACCCCCACAGAGGAGCGGGAAGGGACCGAGTTCTTTCAGTTCCAAGTGTCAGTGGCCTCCTCCCTGCCCAGGGAGGGCCACGATTCAGCTGTGGGTGTGGGCGTTTATGGAGTGGAGAATGGCAGAGAGAATGGGCTCCCCACCACCCCAGGGCAGGTGTCTCAGGTCCTTTGAAATGTTCACGTGACAGCAGCAGGTTTAGAAACTTTGACTTCAGTTTCCTAAATCTCTACCTGAGCGCAGATTTTTATTTTCAGCGAAGAAATGGGTATAAAAGGAAAGAAAACACCCGCACCAAGGTTTGGCACACCATCTGTACCAACACCAACCACTGACAACCAGAGAGCTGCAGCAGGGTTGAGAACAAGTGGGCCTTCAGACCTTCCTCCCTGTGAGAACAAATCCCAGATCAGAGAGCTCCTGCGTTGGATTGGTTGTTTCCCACAGAGGGTACTACTGGTGGAGAGGCCTGGTGGGGCCCAAAGTCCAACCCTTTCTCTGATCACCAGCCTGCTCTCTTGTCACGCAGAGGGCGGACATTCTTCTTAATCACTTAGCCCGGAGTGGCTCCTTTTCTAATTTTCACATCTTCATGTGCGATTGCAGCAGTTCTCAGAGATGGCTCTCCTAAGCACTGGGCCGCTGGAATTTGAGCCTGGGTCTACCTTTACTAGAGACTACCCTTTACTAGGTCTACCCTTTGTTACCTGTTCCTTGGGACAGGTCACACCTCTCAGGGTCTTTGTTTTGTGACTTGTAAAATTCCCCATTTTTAGAGCTCAGAACATTCATTGCTTCCTAGTGAGCACAAAATTGGTGTTAGTTAACCTGAAAGACCTCTGCTGAGGCCTTTGCTCTGCTTCCTGACAGGCTGTAAGGTTGCCCCTCACAAGGCCTGTGTTTGTCATTTGTAAATTAGAGCTNCACCCCATCACCCCATCATTCCGTCCGTCCCCTGGACTCCATTTCCGGCCCCTGGAGGAGCCTCGGCGGCACCCGCAGGTTTGTTGGCCCAGTTTGCCCGCCTGCGCCCCCTCCTGAACGAAGTTCCTTGGGGCCCTACTGGCGGGCATAGAGGTGGACCTACCCTGCCCCCCTCCCGGTTTGGTCAGACACTTGGTCTCCGGGTCTTGGGAGGTGACAGAAGAGAGACAGGGGCCGGCCGGGGGAGGTGCCCCGGGCCGCCCCCCACTCTTAGGGTGGCGGGCGTGGGGTGACCTCTGACCGCCTCGAGCTGTCCCGAATTAGCCAGGCATGAGCTCCGGGGCCGTCCCGCGGCTGCGCACGCTCCAGCGACACCTGGGCTCCCCCGAGGTAGGGGGTCAGGCAGGGACTGGGGTTTCTGTCCCCTCGTCTGTCTGGGGCCAAGGTCCGGTGACCCATAAGCCAGGGGACAGAGAGCTGTGTTCTGGGAGAACAAGGAGACCGGGTCTGGCCATCCATGCCAGCACTGACCAGCAGCAAAGAGGGGTGGAAGGGGAGGCCTGTGTGCCAGAGGTACCCTTCAGTGGCTGGGTGGAGCGGATGGGGGCCCAGTGGGGGCGGATTGGGGACAGGTCAGTTGGTTTATGAACTGTATTTCAGCGTGCTAACACCGCAGCCCGCCATGCTGATCATTAATTCCAGCCTCCCCCTCCCCCAAAGGGACAGTTAGGGACTCTGCCCGGCTGGGGCTGTTTACTCTAAGGCTGGTGTGGACACAGCTTGGGCCCACACGCTCATCCCTGCCCCCGTCTCGTGGCCCAGGACAGAGGCATGGAGCCAGTCAGCAGCCCGCTGACCACACACGTGCTGGACACTGCCTCAGGACTCCCCGCCCAGGGCCTCTGCCTCCAGCTCTCCAGGCTCGAGGACCATGGCCAGCAATGGACGGAACTGAGGAAAAGGTAGGAGGGAGGGCTGGGGCAGGACTTGGGTGCAGACCACCTCCCCTAAGCCAGGGCCAGCCCTGAGTTCTGGCTGGTACAAGCAGCAAGGCGAAGGATCCCAGCCAGGCAAGGAGGGCGGCACTGAGGGCTGACGGCTGAGCTGCCCACTGCCCCACGGTCCCCTGCTGACTCCGGAGCCTGTTTCATCAGGCTGTGTAGTCCCTGCTGGCACAGCCTCACACCCCTAAGGGCTGGGTTGCTTAAGGCCTGCGGTGGAAACTCAAAGGCCTCACTGTCACCATGTTTAACAGGCAGCTCGCTGAGCACTTCATTTCTCTTCCTTTTATTCTCCCTACACCCTGTGGGCGGGCACCATAATGACCCCTATTACAGATGGGGAGACTGAGGCAGGAAGAGGCAAGGTAAAAGCTGGATCCCACACCACGCCCGGCCCTTATCCCTTGTCCAGGCCTTGCTGGGGAGGCCCAGCCCAGGCTTGGGTTGGCATCATGGCACTTGGGTGGGCCCTGGCCCTGTAAGGGGTCCCCAGACCCTCGATCTTGAAGGAGGCAGGCACCTCTGGTGGTGGAAGTCGGGTGGCTGGGCTCCAAAGGTTCCGGGCCTGAGGGTGTGGAGCTCGTACCCTCCCTGTTCAGCCCCTCACAAAAGCGGGGTCCAAGTCACATGTGAGGGTTAGCTGTGGTCTTGGAAGAACACATGGAGTCCCATGGGGGGGTCATATGGACCCACTCCCAACCCTCCATCAACTGCTGGTACATGCCACTCTTTCTAAGCGCAGTGCAGACCCTTGGAAGCACAGCTGGTGGGAACAGGTGAGGTTCCAGCAAAGCCACAGCCCTTGGAGCCCTCCATTGGGGCGCTCAGTGCGGCTGGAAATAGGAGGCCGTGTGGATGGGGGTCCGGATAGAGTTCCT